GCAAAAAGGCTGTTTGATCCTTTCTTCTCTGTTCCTCCCCAAATGGCCACCTCTTATCTCCAGACTGAACAGTAGCCATGCACATGCTCAGTTTGGTGTGTATTACTAGCGAGGGTTTTTTTTCTCTTAGGAGAGTGCATGTGATCAGCACAGGGCCATTCAGAACTGTTCAGACAGAGATCAGGGGACTTCCATCCTCCTAGAGTTGAAAGAAAACTCCTACAAGCTTTAGCTAGTGCTGGGTTGGACACTGATAGAAGCCACAAGACTGCTCTAACTACTGATGAGAAAAGGTATTTAGAAGTTTATATTTACTAAAATAATTGTATTTCCATGTTGTGTGTACTGTGGGAAATCAGATATAGTGAATGCAGAGTCCTGGGTTTAGTAACACTTTAATGAAGAACACTTTTTGTTGACCAAAATGATGGGTCTAGAACAGGGGCGGACTGACCATTTGGCAACTCAGGCACTGCCCGAGGGCCCGGGGTCAGTAGGGGGCCCCATGAGATGCCCCTGGTACCTTCTTCATAGACTTTTTTGAGTTTGGGCAAGGACACAGGGGCCCCATGATCCCCTATTGCCCGGGGGCCCCATGCGTTGTCAGTCCACCCCTGGTCTAGAAAACCTTGCCTCTTCCCAGCCCTCTAGTACTTTATGTTGACTGAAGTGATTGAACTAAAAATACAAGGGAACAGCATGGAATCTACTGTAGTTAGCATTTTTGTCTAGAAAGGCTGAGGAGGCTTGGGTGTAGATCTAAACAAGCCACCAATTGCATGAAATTTGAATTTCCTTCTTGCATTTGTGAAGTTTGCGAAAAAACATTATTGTATAAATGTGGTGATTACATTTTCCTGGCGCATGTGTGACAGCATACTCATGGGCTTAGCCCTATCCACTTAAAGTGTTACTAACCCCAGGACCCTGCATTCACTATATCTGGTCTTCCACAGCACACAGAACATGGAAATGAAATTATTTTAGTAAATACAAACAGCTAAATACCTTTTCTCTTCAGCAGTTAGAGCAGTCTTGTGACTTCTATTAGTGTCCAGTGAGCACTGGTTAAAGCTTGTAGGGGGAGTTTTCTCTAGGAGGATGCAGAACCCCTGACCTCTGTCTGGACAGTGCTGATTGGCCCTGTGCTGATTGCATGCGCTCTCCCAAGAGAAAAAAAAAAAACCTCTCTAGCAATACACACCAAACTGAGCATGTGGAGTGTCTCCACATGATATGTTTTATCAGGAGATAAGAAGGGAGCACTGGAGGAAGGGGAGGATCAGACAAGGATCAATACACCCCAAACTGAGTATGTGCAGAGTGTCTCCTAGGGCTCTGTACTCTGCAGATGGATTGGGGACAGTAGAAAAAGGGGAGGGTCAGAGAAGACAGGATCAGACAGCATTTTTACACAATGCAGAGGATTAACCCCTTAGGTTCCACGGTGAATATAACAAGCATGCTGTACTGCATATACAGACTAATTTTACTGTTGTTGGTTTAATAACACTTTAAGACCAACTTTTTTTTGCTTCTTCTTCTTCTTCTTTTTTTTTGATTGATTGTCCAAAAAGCCAGTGTTCTCTTTGTTTACTGCTCCACAGCTACTTGATTGTTTTAGCATTTATGCCTTTACTTGACCAATTTCTTGCTGTCTGCAAGTCAGGTTCTACAAACTCTGCTGACTTTAGTCCCCATTCAAAGACTAGGATTCTAGAGTGTTGAGCCCCATCATGGTCTTCAGGGTCTTTTCTCTATATTCTTCAATGAATGGATCACTATTCCCATAAAAATATTGGAGCATATAATGTTTAGATAATACAAACATTTGGTGAAAATTTAGATTTTTGATGAAACTGATTGTTGTGCTAGGAATCGATATTCACGCTTTAACACAATTGTATGATCCTCCTTGCTGCCTTCTCTAAATAATGATTGTATTAAAAAAAGTTGAAGCAGCCAGGTGAAAAACGTAGTCCATGCTTCCCCATGATGTCTTTGTGTTCTCTTTGTCCTGGCTACAGACTGCTAAGAATGGTTTGAAGCACTGTGTAATATGTCTATTATATATACAATATTCCATTTTCATATATATGTGTGTGACCCTCTCGCTCTATAGAGAGAGAAAGATATACAGTAAATATATATATATATATATATATATATATTATTGTTACAGTCCTATATAATAAATGTAACCATGTGCTCATGTCTTGCAGATAGCAGTGACAGTGAACTGGAGTTATCAACAGTGCGTCACCAGCCAGAAGGACTGGAACAGCTGCAGGCTGTCACCAAATTTACAAAGAAGGAACTTCAGTCTCTCTACAGAGGATTTAAAAATGTGAGCATTAAAGATGGCAATATTTATTGTAATTATGAAAAAAAACTGTCCCATCTGTAATTTTTTTAATGTGACCACTTTCTTAACCACTTCAAGTCCAGACACTTTCACCCCCTTCCTGTCCAGGACAATTTTCAGCTTTCAGTGCTATCACACTTTGATTGACAATTACGCGGTCATGCAACACTGTACCCATATGAATTTTTTAGCATTTTTTTGAGACAGATAAAACTTTATTTGGTGGTATTTATTCACCACTGGGATTTATATTTTGTTGCTATACAAATGAAGGTCCAAACATTTTGAAAAAAAAATGTTTTTGTTATAAAAATTTTTATTTTTTAAATAATCTTTCTTCATAAATCTTGGCCAAAATGTATTCACCTATCTTTTTAGTAAAAAAAAAGAAAAAACCCAAATTAGTTTATAACCAAAAATTTATTATTATTTTACATTTTTTTTACATTTTTATTTTATTTTTTATATCATTATTTATGGGTTTTTTTTTACAGTGTCATCCTAGCAGTACATTGTCACCATAGTGACACTGTACTACTTGTGGGGGGGTTATGAATTTTTTTTTTTTTTTACACTGATGCTTTTACACCCATAAGGAATGTAAAAGCAATCATTTCTCCTTTTCTCTGGCTGCATTCCTGCAGCCATTGAGAAATACTGTGAGAGCTGTGATTGGTCACAGCTTGTCACATGGCACAAGGCTGTTGTGAATAGCCTTGTACCTACCATGTGACCTATGTGATCATTCACAGTATTCACTAGTAGTAAGCAATGATGTCAGAAGTGACATCTTGCTTACTACTATTCATGTGATCACTGATTGGCCAATCAGTGATCACATGAATCGGGACCTCACGCAGAGGTCCCATACAGCAATTGGTGTTCCGCTGTGTCCGGATCGCGGTGCACGCACTCCCAGGGAGCGCGCACAGGCAGGGAATGCAGGAGGACATTTATAAATGGCCACCCGCTCCTGCGCTGCTCACAACCGGCCCATGTACATAAACAGCCATCTGGGAGCAGTGCTTAATTGGTTAATAGCTTAAAGGGCACCTGTCAGCAAAGCTCACACTCCCTGCTGATTGTAGAACTGTAGCTCTGACTAAGCTAGGAGCATGTTCGGTGGACCTCTGCAGAGAGCAGGTTTGCTGTTAGAAACCATGGGATCCCATACAGCCAACCTGACAGGGCTCCCTCCCCCCCCCCAAAAAAAACAGTTTACTATGCTTCAGTTATGAATAAACACAGTGAGTGATAAGTATTGGTCACTCATTGTGTTCACTCAGGAAAGGAAGAGGCTGGTAAATGTGACATTTACTGGGCCCTTCCCCCACTCTCTATCCTGAAGGATCCTATTTTGTGGTTGCAGCTGCTGGTGGGAAGCAGAGGAGGGAAGCTGGCAGCACTACAAGGGTGGGGGAACAGAGGGGGGCCTGGGCAGCAGGGGGAAAATGTATGGTGCACAGAAAGGGTGAAGGGTTTGGCAGGGGGGCAATTATTGGAACTGATCCCCTGTATGGCTCTCTGCGGCAGCTGAAAACCAGCGGGAGGGAGAGGAGAAGAAGCCAGTTTTCAGCTGCTGCAGAGAGAGCCATACAGGGGATCGGTTCCAGTAATGGCCCCCTGCCATGCCAATCACCTTCCCCATCCAAATCCTATTCACCTATCTGCCTGGGCCCCCCTGCTGGCCTGGGCCCCATACAGGAGAACTGGTGGTACCCCTTATCCACAGCCCTGGCAGAGAGACTGCTGTTCTCACACAGAGAGCAGCAGTCTTTAGCTGCTTATGACTTATGGATGACAAACTGATTTTTTAAGAACTCTGGGGGTTATTTACAAAATCAGTAGCAAGGCTTCAAACACTTATCATTTTGATCCTAAATATAATTACATAATTTTCAAAGAAAGTTCAATTGGGCTTTAAAAGTCGATATTTTTCCTAAAATAATAAAGATGTTATATTTACCTGCTCTGAGCAATGGTTTTGCACAGAGCGGCCCCACATATCCTCTTTTGGGGTCCCCACAGGCACTCTCGACCTACCTTCCAAGTGCCCCATACCTTGAAAGGTAGGTCGGGGGTTATTTACAAAATCATTAGCAAGGCTTCAAACACTTATCATTTTCATCCTAAATATAATTACATAATTTTCATAGAAAGTACAGTTGGGCTTTAAAAGTCGATATTTTTCCTAAAATAATAAAGATGTTATATTTACCTGCTCTGAGCAATGGTTTTGCACAGAGCGGCCCCCACATATCCTCTTTTGGGGTCCCCCACAGGCACTCTCGACCTACCTTCCAAGTGCCCCCTAGCAAGCCGCTTGCTAAGGGGGCACTTGTGCAAACTCGATCCAGAGCCGGGCTGTCATTGGCTTTTGCTGCTGCCTCTGCGTCCTGCAAGGAGAGGGAGAGAGAGCAGCGCTAGATCAAGATAGAGCTCAGGTAAGAATTTGTTGGGAACTTATCATGGAAGGTTTTTTTAACCACTTCCTGACCGCCCTATAGCTGAAATACTGCTACAGGGCGGCAGGGCTGAGCAAAATCACATATATATACTTGATTTGCATTTCCGGTTAGGGAGTGCACACGCTCACCACTCTGCTTGCGCTGCCATTGGCAGCTAAAGATGTCAATCACTGGGTCCTGGCCGGAGATTCCCCACCGGTGTAAAACTGACAGGGGAGAGACCTATGTGTAATCAACACAGGTCTCTCTCCTGCCAGCAAGGACATGCTGTTTTGCACAGCAGAGAAATACAAAGCAGCATGTCTCCTAAGTAAAACACACATAGCACATAATGTTAAACAGCACACAGTAAAACCGCACACAGTTAACCCTTTGATTGCCCCAGATGCTAACCCCTTCCTGCCCAGTGTCATTTTTATTAGCACTGATCACTGTATTAGTGTGATTGGGATGTCAGTGGCAGCTAGCCAGTTCCCACCCAGTGTCAGAATGCCCGCTGCAGTCCCGCTATAAGTCACTGATCACCACCATTACTAGTATAAAAAAAAAATTCCAGTATATATATACCGCCATTTGTAGATGCTATAACTTTCACGTAAACCAATTAATTTACACGTATTGGGATTTTGTTAGCAAAGACATGTAGCAGAATACATTTCGGCTTAAATTTATGATGAAATTAGATTTTTTTACTGGATATGTTTTATAGCAAAAAAAAGTTTTGTTTTTTTCTTCAAAATTGGTAATCTTTTTTGTTTATAGTGCAAACAATAAAAAACATAGAGGTGACCGTAAGTAATCCCTATTTGTGGGAAAAAAGGATGTAAATTTCATTTGGGTGCAGTGTTGCATGACTGCGCAGTTGTCAGTTAAAGTAACGCAGCGCCATATAGCAAAAAATGGCCTGGTCAGGAAGGGGGGTAAATCATCAGGAGGGCAAGTGGTTAAAGTGATAATAAAGGTATTTTTTTTTAAATAATAAACATGTCATACATACCTGTTCTAAGCAGTCATGTTTTGCACAGAGCAATCCCAATCCTCCTCATCTTAGGTTCCCCGCCAACATTCCTGGCCCCTCCCTCCTGCCGAGTGACCCCAAAGCTTGGGGCACCTGAGCAGGCTTACTGCCAAACTGCTGCTCTGCATGTCCATTCACACACAGAGCGCAGTTCGGCCCTGCACCCTCTTCATTGGCTCACTGGCTGTAACTCCAATGACTCCCGCTGCTGTCTCCGCCAATGAGGAGGGAGAGCTGCTGCTCTTGTGCACATCGCTGGATCGAAAGAGGGCTTACGTCAGTGTTGGGGGGGGGGGGGCTGCTGCACAAAGTTTTTTTACCTACAGTTGTGTTCAAAATAATAGCAGTCAGACATCACTAACCTGATCAATCACTGTGTTTGGTAGAAATGATATTTCTACATGGCAAATAATTTACTAGCAGGTGTAGTAGAGTAATAGAAATCCAACAGACCCAACAGTCATGACATGCATGCTGCTGATTCTGTGTAATTGAATCACTAATTGAAAGGGGCATGTTCAAAATAATAGCAGTGTGGAGTTCTATTAGTGAGGTCATTCATTCTTTAAAAAACAGGTGGCAATTATTGCCCTTATTTAAGGAAGGAAGGCAGCAAATGTTGTACATGCTGGTTACAGTGCATTTCTCTCTGAAATTCTGAGGAAAATGGGTCGTTCCAGACATTGTTCAGAAGAACAGCGTACCTTGATTAAAAAGTTGATTGGAGAGGGGGAAAACATATAAAGAAGTGCAGAAAATGATAGGCTGCTCAGCTAAAATGATCGCAAATGCTTTAAAATGGCAACCAAAACCTGAAAGACGTGGAAGAAAGCGAAAAACTACCATTCGAATGGATAGAAGAATAGCCAACATGGCAAGGACTCAGCCAACAATCAGCTCCAGGAAGATCAAAGAAGGTGTAAAGTTACCTGTGAGTACTATTACAATTAGAAGACGCCTATGTGAAGCCAAGCTTTCTGCAAGAAGCCCCCGCAAAGTCCCACTGTTGAAAAAAAGACATGTGCTGAAGAGGTTACAATTTGCCAAAGAGCACATTGACTGGCCTAAAGAGAAATGGCGCAACATTTTGTGGACTGATGAAAGTAAGATTGTTCTTTTTGGGTCTAGTGGCCGGAGACAGTTTGTCAGACAACCCCCAAACACTGAATTCAAGCCACAGTACACTGTGAAGACAGTGAAGCATGGTTGCACAAGCATCATGATATGGGGATGTTTCTCATACACTACGGTGTTGGGCCTATTTATCACATACCAGGGATCATGGATCAGTTTGAATACATCAGAATACTTGAAGAGGTCATGCTGCCTTATGCTGAAGAGGAAATGCCCTTGAAATGGGTGTTCCAACAAGACAACGACCCCAAACACACCAGTAAACGTGCAACATCTTGGTTCCAGACCAACAAGATTGACGTTATGGAGTGGCCAGCCCGATCCCCGGATCCTAATCCAATAGAAAACTTGTGGGGTGACATCAAAAATGCAGTTTCTGAGGCAAAACCAAGAAATAGAGAAGAACTGTGGAATGTAGTCCAATCGTCCTGGGCTGGAATACCTGTTCACAGGTGCCAGAAGTTGGTTGACTCCATGCAACACAGATGTACAGCAGTTCTCAGAAACAGTGCTTATACAACTAAATATTAATTGATTCAAAGGAAAGCAAAATCTTCAAAATTTTTCAGTTTATATAGTGAATGTTTGAGTTTGTAAAGAAGAATACAAACACTGCTATTTTTTTGAACAGTCTAATATTCACTTTTCTTCACAACACAAATTTGATCTATTTTTGTTCATGTTTTGATTTGGAATACAATGTGTAGTGTTCCCAATGCATTTGTGTGTATGGAAATAAAAGCTATTAGAAGGAATTTTGATTCACTTTTTTCAACACACTGCTATTATTTTGAACACAACTGTATATTTACAGACATAAACATAAAAACCTTGAGCCTTTACAATCAATTTAATGTGGAGAATGCACTAAGGCAGGGGTGTCCAAACTTTTTTCAAAGAGGGCCAGATTGGATGAAGTGAACATGGTGGAGGGCCGAACATTTTTCCGAACATTCTTTGAACCATTACAATTAAATGCAAATAAATTATTTTATGCCAAGTTAATTGCAAACGACATACTTTTCATATCATAACATTAAGATCAACTGACAGCTGAGTTTTCACAATGTATTGAAAATAAATAAAAAAAAAACTTACCTGCACTAATGTGAAGGGTGAAAAAGGTAGCTGGAGCTTAAGTCTCTGCTCGGCAGCCTGGAGGGGAAGAGAAACACACTTCACGCTGGAAGCCCGGCCCTGACGTCACCGCCCTCTGTCGCTCCCAGCGCGTCGCAGTCACGCATGTGCACTGCTCTCAAGCAGAAGACTGTCTGCCACAGAAGGGAGGGCCGTGCGTCAGCCGCATTTACACAGACCAGGGAGAACGCGCCGCAGTCAGGCATGCGCACTGCCCTCTGCTCTCAAGCAGAAGACTGTCTGCCATAGAAGGGAGGGCCGTGGGAGGGCCACATTACACAGAGCAGGGAGGGCTGTTGGAGGGCCGTATTAAACCGACCCCCGGGCCGTAAATGGCCCGCGGGCCGGACTTTGGACATGCCTGCACTAAGGTAACACAAAATTCCCTAAAGACCTAAAGCTATTTGCTGTATAGTCTAGTAATAATTCCCACAAAATAAATGTTAATGACAGTGTACGACACATCCAAACATAAACCCCAGGAACCTTATGGATATTTTTTTTAAATTAAACTCTTCTATTACATGTATTTCTGGACACAGAATATTGACAGAGAGCTAACATTGCCTGAGCCTATCTTAAAACTGACTGACAGCCTTACCGTCAGTCTTGTCCAGTTTGTGCAGATCCTCTCCTTTCCCAGTATGGCGTACACTAATTTCACTGCACACTGTGAGCTTCTCACAATGTGCATTGGAAGGACCATATGAAGCCCACTTTATTTCCTAGCTGGTGGACAACCAGATTCATCATCTTACTGTCCATGGCCTGCAGCTTTCAATAACTGGATCCAAAGTCGCATGACAAGTTGCACCCCATGTTTCCCAATGAGTACCATTCATATCTGTGTGACTTCACGTTGCAGCGACTTGAAGAGCCCATTCACACTTGTTTGACTTGTCATGCGACTTTGGGGTCCAAAGTAGGGTTGCCACCTCATCCTTTTAAAACCGAACACATATTAATTATGCAGGTTCTGCGGCTAATTAATTGCAGATAAGGTACTGGTAGGTAGTGAGTTTAGTTACCACCTTAATCAACCACAGAACCTGTGTAATTAATAATGTGTTTGGTTTTAAAGGGATGAGGTGGCAACCCTAGTCCAAAGTCGCATGACAAGTCACACTCCATGTTTCTCAATGAGTACCATATCTGTGCGACTTCAAGTTGCAGCGACTTGAAAGTAGTTCCTGCACTACTCTGATCCAACTTTCATGCAACTTGAGGGCCATAGATCTCCAAAGTCTCTTGAAAGTTGCACCTGAATGATATACATGCAACTTATGTGTAACTTTTTACAGCACAAACAATCATCCTTGGTCAAAGCCAAAGTCACATGAAAGTTGCCTCGAAGTAGCATCAAGTTGTGCTGTAAAGTTGCCATGAGAATCGCATGATTTTGAAGTCGCACAAATGTGAACAGAGCCTACTTTGGTCCAAATTTCATTCGACTTGAGGACCATAGACTTCAATGTAAACCCTCCAAAGTTGCATGAAAGTCACAACTGAATAATATTCATGCAACTTGTGTACAACTTGTGTGTGACTTTTTAGAGCACAATCATCCTTGGTCAAAACCAAAGTCACACCAAAGTTGCACTCATCCAATGCCCCATCAAAGTCGCATCAAGTTGCAATGAAAATCGCACGATTTTGAAGTCGCACAAGTGTGAACGGAGCCTCAATAAAACAGTTGGGAACTGTTGAGACGATAATGCTTTGGTCAGGACTATGTAACATACAACATAGAGTATTTAGTGCAGTGGTTGGGGCAATGTATTGTACAACATAGCAAATAAAATGTAGTGGTCAAGAAAATGTAAAGTATAGAGTACAACAATTGAAGCTATGTAATATAAAATATATTGCATACAGTGCAGTGGTGAGGACTATATAATTTATACAGTGCACAGGTTAGGACCATGTAATGTACAATGCAGATACTGTATACCAGAGGTCTCCAAACTTTCTAAACAAAGGGCCAGTTGATTACCCTTCAACCTTCAGAGGGGCCAGACTGTGGCCAGTAGGAGTAAAAAAAATGTCCTGGCTTTGGTAACCATGCTCCATCATTGGCTTGTAAAGCGCTGAGCAAACTGTTGGCACTATATAAATCCTGTATAATAATAATAATAATTGGCGTCCGCGAGAGGAATAGGGCCTCATCATTGGTGTCAGTGAGAGGATTAGTGCCCCATCATTGGTGTCTGTTGGAGGAATCATT